GAAAACAAGGTCAGAGAGGAACAAGGAGCACATGTAGAGTCCAGAGGACAACCTTGAATGCTGTTCCTCAGGTGCCAGACACCTTGGTTTTTGAAACAGGGTTTCTTACTGACCTGGAGCTCACCAGTTAGACTAGGTTGACTGGCTAGGGAGCCTCAGGGATCCACCTGCCTCTACCTGTATTGCCTGCATATATGTAAGTGCACCCATGTGCACCTTGTGCGGTGCCAGAGGAGGTCAGAAGAGGGCATTGGATCCCCTAGAACAGGAGTTACAAACGGGCGCTGGGAACCAAACCTGGGTCTACAAGAGCAGCCATCTCTCCAGCCCCAAGAATAGGATGGATGCACTGCTTAAGCAGCAATTGTGAGCTTCTAATCCCCCGGCCTCCACCTCCCAAGTACTAGAATTACAGATATGTACCTGACTTTAAATCTATATTGCTTTTTTTTCTTTTGGATCAATTATTTTTCTTTTATGTTCAGGACTCATTATTTACAGGTGTGGCAACCATTTAAGAATATAACAGCCACTGGGCCTGGTGGCACATGCTTTTAATCTCAGCATTCAGAGGCAGAGGCAGGTAGATCTCTGTGAGATAGAGGCCAACCTGATCTATATAGTGAGTTCCAGGCCAGCTGGGGTTACAAAGAGACCCTGTCTCAAAAAATATATAAAAAGAAAGAAAGAGGGGCTGGAGAGATGGCTTAGCAGTTAAGGGCACTGACTGCACTTGCAAAGGACCTGGGTTCGATTCCCAGGACCCACATGGCAGCTATGAACTGTCCTTAACTCCAGTTCTAGGGGAATCCAAAGCTCTCTTCTGACCTCTGCAGCATTGCATGACACAGGTGCACTCACATACATGCAGGCCATACACTCATACACATAAAATAAAAATAATAAAATATTTTAAAAAGAAAGAAAGAAGGGAGGGAGGGGTAGAGAGAGAAGGAGGGAGAGAGGGAGTTCAAGAACAGAAGAACAAGGCCAGGAGTGAAGCACTGTGGATAGCTCATGTGACAAGAGCACACAAGGTATCCAGCCAGCCCACAACATCGGGACCAGTCTCAGGATTCTGACCCAAAGGACCATGGAGCAGGCACAAAGCAAGTAGAGAGAGACCACTGTGTCTATAAACTCTGTGGGCCTCCACACATGGTCCAGACATGACCCTTGAGCAAAGTCAGCCTAAGCTAGGACCTGGGGCATTCCTTAATTCCATACCACTCAAGTTTCTTGAAGCCCTGAGCTGACATGCCACGGCTGTTCCCTCTATTCTCCTGTCTGTGGAGGCCAGGGGATAGGGCTTTGCTGATTGTGGCCCTAGGAGGGAGGGAGAGTGACAGCTACCAAACAAAGTGCAATTCTTCAAGCTCTGTGGAGAGGGAGGAGCTGCTCCAGGGGACCAGAGTAGCAGGATCACACCTAGAGCATAGTGCCACTCAGCCACCAGATGAACCCACCAGGGACCACCACTGCCAGCCAGAATGCAGCAGCACAGGAAACAGCTAAATGCCAAGTTCCAGGCCCCTTCCCCCACTCCCAGGAGGCCTGTGGGGGTGTGGTTAGGACAGAAAACAAGACTAAAAAAATGGGGCAGCAGCTTTCACCTACCTGAGGGAGCAAAGTGGGAAAGGCGCCCTGTCGCTAAACTCAAGGAAGTGAAAGGCCCCAAGAAGCCCAGTTCAGTGGGGATGGGGTGTCAGGGAGCTTGGGTGGGTAGTAGACTCAGAGTCACAAAGGGCATGGAGTAGCCCCACCCCTGAGGGTACACTGGAGGGTGTGAGGACTCCTTCAGGCTCAGAGCTGAGAGATCAGGGTCACCATGCAGACCTAGTATCAAAGAAAAATGCTACCACTGGGGAAGACTGCAGTCTGACTGCCTATTCAGGGCTGCAGGGCAAATGCCTCAGCGACCAGCCTGACTGCCCTGGCATCCCGTCTCATGGCTTCCTTGGTCATGTAGCTGGCCAAGGTGTTGAGGTCACTTTGCCATGCTACTGTCTACCCTATCCTTGCCTGGACCACTCCCACCTCACCCTAGCCTGAAATACTCCTACTGTAGCCCTTCCTACCAGTCTGCTTCTCATGGGCTGGTCTCAGGAAAAGAAAACTCTTCCAGAAGCCCCAAGTCTAGACAAAAGTTTCTGCTTCTACAGCTCCCCACAGTATCACCTGTCTTCACTGTCATTGTCTGTTTGTCTGTGAGGAAAGAAGCCCATCCAGCTTCATCCCTGCTCTATCTTCCAGGCCCAAGGCCCACAACTGGCCTGTAGTGATGGGATAAAAGGAAAAAAGATAAGAAAGTCTGAGGGTAAAGGATATAGTTCAGTGGTAGAACACTTGCGTAGTATGCAAGAGGCCTTGGGTTCAACCCCTAATACTTCAAAAGGGACGGAAGGAGGAGGAAAGGAGGGAGAAAGGGAGAGGGGGAGAGAGAGGGAGGGAGGGAGGGAGGGAGGGAGGGAGCCTGAGTGTCAGTTTAAGATGTCCAATATCTGGGGCAGGAGAGATGGCTCAGTGAGTAAAGTGCCTACCATGCAAGCATGAAGACCTAAGTTCAGACCCCCAGGACCTGTGTAAAAAGCCAGGCATGGAAGTGCACACCTGTAAATCCAGTGATATGGGGAGCAAAGACCAGTGGATTCCTAAAGCTCACTTGTTAGCCATCCTAGCTGAATCAATGGATTTCAGGTTCAGGTTCAGTGAGAGACCCTGTCTCAGAAAATAAAGGAGGAAAGATACCTAACACTGGCCTCTGGCTTCCACACAGTACTACACATGCATGCACCTGCACACACACATGCACATACCACACTAACAAGTACGTATAACAAACACACATGCACACGAAGTATATCCAATATTTGAAGATTAGGAGTTCTAAGAAGAGAAGGAATTATCCAAGAAACAGTGTAGCTGGGTGTGGTGGCTCACTCCTTCATCCCAGCACGTGGGAGGTTAAGGTCAAGAGGATCACCTTGAGTTTGAAAGCTAGCTTGGGGTCCAGAGTGAGACCTTGTCTTAACAACAACAAAACGAGTATAAAAATATTTGCTAGAACATCTAAGAACTTTCATATTTAAAGGGGTCACTAAAAATCCAAAATAATGAAGTTTGAAAGACTTAGGATACGCTGGGTATAGTAACCTGTAGTCCCAGCACTTGAGAGGCAGGGGCAGGAGGACTGCCAGGAATCTGAGGCCAGCCTGAGCTACAGAATGAGATCCTATCTCAAAAACAGGTCTATTGAGCCAGGTGTGGTGGCACATGCCTTTAATCCCAGCATTCGGGAGGCTGAGGCAGGCAGATCTCTGTGAGATCAAGATCAGCCTGGTCTACATAATGAGTTCCAGGCCAGATGGAGCTACAGGGAAATACTGTCCCCAAAAAAC